AAAAATACCCCCCCCCCCCCCCCCCGGCCCACCGGTTTTCTTTTTCTTCCCTTTGCTATCTCCTCTGCGGCTCCACTCCCCCGCGCCCCCACCCTGCGCCACTCGTAGCTTCCCACCGCTGCCGGCGACGAGTAGCGACGCTACGAGCGCCTCTCCTGTGTCTCCGGTGAGCCCTGCGCCACTCGCCACTCACCGGCCCTCTGCTGCTTTTCGACGTGCGAGCGCAAGTAAAAAATAACAAGAAGTTCGTTCGTGACGCCAGCGACGACTGCGCTCCGGGTGTCTCGGACGAGGAATAATTAGTGGTGGGCCCTTGGTCGGTTGGCAGAAGCGAAAAAGGCTGCTGCCGTGTTTTCGTTGTTATTCGTATTATTATTCTCCATTTCCTACTGTCATACCAGTACGAATCCAGGAATGATACCAACACCGGGACGGTTAACGTGCACGGGTATACCTATATGTATAGCTGTACATAAGAGCCTTCGAATGACCAATGGACTTCGGCTTTGTATTAACCCAGTTTTATTTACCTTCTGCTCAAGACCCATTGTCCAGGCGTTACGTCAGTCTCAATTTTACCGTAGAGCGAGACCAAGACTGGAGAAACAAAGAGAGGAAGAAGAAAAGTAAACGTGCGATTCGTAAAGGACAATGGCGTCGAACGGGGGCGTCAGGGTGGAGAGACTGGAATATCACGAGTGGAACGCCGACACTTCGGGACGCCCCGATGTGTACCAAGACGAGGCTCTGCTGATTCACGCGAGTCCCGACCCAACGTGTCCACACCACCTATCTATCTATATGCCCTGGCAGACCTCCACCCAACGTCTCCTTGTCCAAACGTGTCTACGGCGTCCCGACGCCGACGGAGAAAAAAAAGCTTTTCCATGCTAAGGCAAGATAGGACGTCGTGAGGTCGACGTGATAGGAATGACGCTAAGCACATAACGACTATCCCTCCTAACCAGCGTCGTTGCGTGTAGAATTTCCGGATTTCGTTGAAAAAGATAAAAAGGTATATGGAGTCTTAAGCACGATAAACGTCGTATGAATGGATACCAGCTGTCCCGCTCCTGTCCTGGATGGATGAGGTCGCAGTGGAGTAGAACGAGTAGAACGAGCTGTTGAAAGAGCCAATGGATCCATATGAGCGCGACGTGAGGGTAGGCGAGGGGCAGGGAGGATCGTCTGCGATTTTAAAATGCCACCCGCAACCCCTGTCCCACCCACCCACTATGGCTTGGATTCCATTAGCCAGCTCCGTTAACAATCGAACGTGTTCGCTCGACCATAGAGAGGGAGAGAGAGAGAGAGAGAGAGAGAGAGAGAGAGAGAGAGAGACCCGAAAGCTTTCGAGATCCTGCGGAATGCAGCCGGAACTAACACGGCGTAAAGGATTTTCGATTACGTTTTGTCGCTGCGTTCCCTTCGGTTTAGTTTCGAGCCCGTTCCATCTTTTCAATCCCTCCCACCCACCTTTCCACCGCGTATACCCATCTACACTGCGTGCTTTACGTCTGCCCATGTAGCCCCGGCCAGTAGTCGATTCCCCAAACAGCCTCCGAATAGACTTGGACCCAGGTCGCAAAACCCCAACGCCGTCCCAGCAGGTCCATAGTAGTTTGCTTCCGTTGTAAAATCGAAGAAGTAAATCGAGCGAGAATCGAGGCTCTTGTAAACCGAACCCATCCTCGTGGTAGGCTTTAAACCTTGAGAATCGAAGTCCCGCGTCAAGGCGAAGTACCACTCTGCATTCTGCTCGAGATTCTTAGGTATAAAGAGGCCTCAAAGCAGAATTGAATTTCGGGAGGGCCCCATTCTAATTCGAATTTGATCTTTTCAGCCCGCCCGCTTACGAGAGTATATGCACGTATAATAAGCGTTCCCCACGCGCCCTGTAAGATTTATACTCAGCCCGAGACACGTACTGGAACTTTTCAGCGACTTTTCGTTCCACGTGTAAAACCACTGGATTGTACAACAGTCACTGAAATACTTGACGGGCTTTTCATATTTTTCCAAACACAAAGAAAGTCAACGAATAACGTTTCTATACTGTAACGACATTAAGGCTGTGTGTAATTTGAATTTATCGACTCACCAATAAGCTTGCCGAATTGCGCAGGAGGTCTCCATTCGGGATAATGCCTTGGAAATCGTGCTCTCGACCAGTACGTCCTCAGTGTGACTTTGTAGAGGGCTAGCTTGTCCTGCTTCTCTTGTTTCTCCTGCTTCTCCTGAAGCGACGCGCCGCATTGCGCTTCCACTAGGAGTAGGTGAGCCCCGATCAGGAGCCACCACCAGAGCCACGTGCCGCCGCCGAACATCTGTCGAGACAGTCGAGTAACTCGTGAGAAAAAGAGTCGCGTTACGCACTCGGCAAGACGCGCGCTCCTTCCTCGTAGCTGTTATAGCATTGACGCAGTGCTTGTATACATGGATTCTACCAACACGCGTTAAAGCACACGTTCGCCGGCAACGAGGAGTCGAGAAAAATCAAAGAGAAGCAAATGGATTCCAGACCAGAGTGACTTAACGAGCTGTGAGAGAAGTTTCTTCAAAGTGCCAGGAGGCAGCGCTGTTACTGGCTGTGAGTTTCCGGGTGCGTGAAGGGCAAACGGTAACGGACGAGAAGCAGCGGGGGGACAAGAGGGACGGAGGAGGTAATATGGAAAAATGACCAATCAACTTATTTCGCGTAGAGTCAAAAAACTGTAAATTGTAGATGGAGTGGATGATGCTTTATCGTAGAAAAATTATTTGAAAAGCGCGGCAATATTTTGAATTTGAAAAGGGAGGATGATCCTAGCTAAGTGAATTCAGTGTAGTTCTGTATTCTCCTCTAGGTTCGCTTCGATCGTTTCGCGTCCTAGAGTGAAGCTAGAAAATGGCGTCGGATCACAGCGTGCATCATCCTGTGTTTACATATGCAGATATACGCGATGCCGTTCAAAATGTAAATCACATTCAAATTGTCCCGATCGCTACTAACGGGAATCATCGAAATTTCATGGACAGGAAACCCTCTAATCTTTCGTGAAAACTCGGCTGATCCGCACTGGGTATAAACGAGCTATGAATTTTCATTAGACCTAGTCACGTGCACTAGAGCGCTGCATTCTCTTCTCCTGTTAATCACTCGAGAGATCCTTTATCGTGTATGGTGTGTTTTGCATTACGTGACGTCATAATCATTCAAGTCCAAGTACACTCGATTACGACCTACTTCCCGAAGCTCGTTACGCTGCTAAACGCGTGTTTTGAAAGTTTTTTGTAAATTTTCGATATCTTACGACTCTCACAGCCTGAGTATATAATATACGCGTACGATATTTCGCACTGGCCGTGTCGACCATAACAACGCGACCGCGCGGTGCTACATCCTCTTTCATTTTGTCGACGGGAGTAAAATTTTTAATTAGAGTTAATTTTAATGTTTACGACGACCGAGGGGGAGGAAAGTTCAGCAATGTTTTTTATGCTTTATGGAACATTATTTTATGTCGAGCTCGTTCGCCGTTGCCCGACTCCCTCCCCTCCTTGCGATTCTTCAGGCTGAAATGGCAACCCCTCTTTGCCCACGGAGCAGCCACCCTAGAAACCACGGAACTCCCAGCGAACCTAGTGAACGTAGTGAATGCTGCTACCTACGGTGAACCCAGTGAACCCGACCGCCTACCAAACCGCCTCTAAAACTTTTTTTTGCATTTCATTACTACGTCTGGCTACGAACTATATCCTGAATTCTCCACGGAGCATCCGCTAAACGTTACTCGTAAATCATGATCTCGTAAGTCCAAAGCGATTTTTCGTTGTCCGATCGTAATTTCCTGGCCGGCCATTGTAACGGAATAGCTCGAGTAGGTGTCTTGATTCATGTTAAGCCGAAAGAAGAAAAGAAAGTGAAGGAAAAGGCGGAAGAAGAACGGCCTAAACTTATTGGGAAGAGAGTTTAAAATGAGAAAAACGAAATAAATAAGAAAAGAATCGGTACAACGTATAAGGTCGGTCAGGATCAAGGGGGTAGTTGGTTGCCAGTTTCAAGGGTGGCTCCGGGCCGCTTCTCCTTGGATGCTACTTGGATGCTACTCCGAGTAATACCATAAAGACAGAGGGTGACTCGACTCTTTCAATATGCCGCTCAGATTCAGCCAAGTTAAACTCAATAATACTTTTCGCTCCATAGAGCGGAGCTCTGGCCGTGCTTTAAATAATGTTTGAATAAAAAGTGAAAAAGTTTTTCAGTTAGGTCCGCCGCGACGCCAGGGTTTGCAGGGCACCAAAACGAACGAGGAGAACTAGGAAGAAGGGGCAGAAGAAAAAGAATAAGCCTAAAGAAGTTCCTGGTGAGTCCTTAAACAAAGACAGAGGGAGAGAGAGAGAGAGAGAGAGAGAGAGAGAGAGAGAGAGAGAGTTGAATTTACAAAAAAGAAATAACTTCAAACCAATATAAGAAAAAGACTCATCGCGGTCCGTTTCAACTCGAGCTATTCGGTTGTGAATTCCACATGAAGTTCTTCAACATCCGGTGCCAGGAATTCCGATATTATATTGTGACTAGATATTACTGCAGATCTCTATCAGACACGCACGAACTTCGTAGCGTCGTAGGTTTTTCAATTCTCGTACAGCAGAAAGAAATGGAGGACGCGTCATGACTCTTTGACGTGTAAACAGAACCAGCACTGGAATATCGCTTCTCTCTGCAATATCTGGCATCGCGTTCATTTTGTGCACCGCCTCGTGAATTTCGCAGAATCTCTGCACGACTTGCGGTCGCTTTGGTTATCTTTGCCATCCTCCTATCTCCTCTCCGGATGATTTTACATAAATGCTATTTACATGTGCGAGCAAGGAAGAGGAGCATTTCGCATCGGAATACGGGATGGCGTTAACTTAATCCAGAATCCTAAATGCCTAACACTCAGCAAAGGATCCCTGACTCACTCACTTGGCCAGCCTAATGGCTGAATTTGTTTACAGACGCCAAGATCCCTCCTAATTCTCTTCACGTTAAATATCAGAGACCGATCCTCTCTCTTCTATTGTGTCTCTCCTGTACGCATACCCTATATTACTATACGTGTCACTGGTCTTCCACTACGAATGACCTCCCCTCGCTTTCCCTCTCATTCATTCGCTTACTTTTATTCCTTCATTCTCCCTCTCACTCTCTTTCGCCCTTTCGAATCATCAATCTTGATCTGACTCGAACGACATGTGCTCATCGTCGCACCGTCCACCACTCGCACTACCGCTACTCACACTTCTACTAATTCTATCTGGAGAGAGTGAAAAATAATGATGGACAGATACTAGGCTTTTCTCTTCTTCCACTGATCCATTTCCCGAGCGGTTTCAGTGTCGAAGACCATTGCCAGCAGCAACAGCAGCGAAGCTGATGGCGGTTAACGACTGTGCGTTACTCACCTCTTTCGCAATATCCTCTCTGACCTCCTTTTCACGAGAAACTTAACTTCATCCCCGCGACAGGTATCACATCACCACAAGAAACTTCCTAAACGGTCAAGCGCACCCTCGAAAGAATTCACCCGACTCCCGAAAATTTCCGCGTTCCGCGATCGCACGACGTTACCGACACTCGCGATTACCCACGGGGATACCGGCTCGCACGTTCTGCCGCACGAATTTGGTCGCAGTCGTTATTCACGGGTTTCACGTTTCACGCCAGGTTCTCGCGCGGCCCGTTTCTCTTTCTTGCTCCTTCCTGCGAATGACTATCTTACGGACTCCTTCTCTCTCGTTCCCCCACGGCTAATGCCGATGCAACGGGAAGACACGAGAAGTTCCGAGAGACAAGAAAAGAACGAGCGATGCTTCGCCTCGCGTCTCGTGTGTCTCTAGTCGCGTGCGCGGACAGCCCAGCGAAACGACACGACGATGCTTTTGGCTCGAGGCTCACGGCGGTACTGTGCGACGGTAACGGCGCTAACGCGGATCCCGGCATCGTTGGCGTCGGCGTCGGCGTCGCGACCAAACGTACCAGCGGCACAGCCGCCGATCACGGTGTGTCGCATGTTCGTCAACTGGCCTCGAACATGGATTCGAATTGCTCCTGAGAACTATCTGCTACCTCTGGACGTGTTGCTAATGAAAGGTAAGTATCGTGTGATTTCTCTAGTTTCCTGTGCTTTGGTTCACTCCTGTCAATTAGACTACGTGACTATTTTAACCGACAACCTCTCTCTCTCGCACATATACAATCTCATCCGTAGGTATCCTTCCCCGACTCCTTAAACTTATTGTCCCATGTTTCCCTTTGTCAAGTAAATTCACGGATGGCAGCATGGGCAGGTACATTACTGCTTAATGTCAAAAGCTCCAGTATTCTGGCAACAAACCCAATGAGAACTTCTGACGTATTTCGAACGTGCGATTATCGTTCGAGCGTATCAACGTGTTATCGCGTCACTCTGCATAGAGGGATCGTAACCCTTCAGTCGGGCAGCATCGTGTTTTAACCCCCTATATTAACCGCGTCTTCCCACCCTTCGCACTTTTTACAAACCGCTGCCTTCTGGACGTTCATTATCGAACGTTAATAACATATACCTCATTACTTCGTTGCGTAATAACCTGCTAGATGTTAGCTTACGCGTATATTGAGTGCACCATAGGTCACACGACGGTCGATACGTTTGATTGCGCCTTTGGATCTCCGAACCCTCTGAATTTAGTCCCTGTGGTACAGACCTCTACAAAAGTCTCTCTGTTTTTTTCGCAAACCTCCCTCGACAATTAGTGACGTTTAACGTTGCCAATGATACTTCGAATGTCTGTATAGCCACCGTGGAAATGGCACTGCGCACGCTTGTACGGTTGCCCATGGGTTATGTATGTGACATATATATATATGTATATATATATATATAACGCTCTAGGCTCATAAGAAATGCAATTTACGAGACGGGTAGGGAACGTTATTGGAGAAGTAGGGGCGTATGAAGGGAAAGAGGGGAAGGAGGTCTAATTGTTAATTATGTCTGCTCATAGATAGAGGCCCACGTATCGGAGAATTGCCTTACATCGTTGATATAGGGAAACTGGAGGGAAAAAAAAAGATAAAAACAAAACGGAAGAACGGAGACGGTAGATAAATATATAGATAGACTATGGGGTTCCTAAGAATAACGTCTGCTCTTCTGGAACTAGTCCTGGGAAAAATCCTAATTTTTACTGAGATCTTTTTTCTGGCTACCCCTTGCAGGTCTCTTTCTAAGGCAAGCGATGGGTCGATATTTTGTGAAAAAAATTAAAATCTTGCGCGTGACTAGAGGTTCGTCCTTCTTTCCTTCTTATTTTTATTTTATCACACGATTCTCATGCTACTGTTATATATCTATATATACATATACATATATATATATATTCTCTTTCCTCTTCTTCTCTTGCTACCCTTCACCGGTTTGCTTTGCGTTACCAAGTTAGACTTGGACATGGTGAGTGGATTAGGGTAGGTACGTAGCCAGACTGCCGTCTGAGGATACGGGAAGAGCAAAAGGCGCTGAGGTGGCTATATAAGGAAATATTCTTGGAGACTTCGCTATCAGCGAGATGCACCCTTAGGTAGAGCTTGCACTTGCGTCTGATGAGCTTCAGTCAACGATTGGGAGTCACTGCAGACACGCTACTCGGTACTCCCGGAGGACCCACGATTTTTATCAGGACCACGGATACCGATTTCCGTAAATTTGTAAGCTCGCCCTTGTTGAATTGTCCCGGTTTTTCTTTATCGTGAAAACTCGCCAGCCCGCTTTTGTCGCGAAGCATCTGTGACGCTTCGATAAAAATTCGAATGACGGATGCGCACGCAAAAATCGAACCGATCCGACTGCAGGATCGTTGGGAGCAGAGGGTGCCAGAGGTGTAGGGAGGGCACGTGGTACACGGTTGACTGGTGACTTTTTAAGGGTGAAAAGTGAAAAGCCATTGCACGCTGGCAGCAGCTATCGCGATAGCCAAATCTTTAACAGCGTCATCCCAGTCGCTAAGTAAAAGGCACTCTTAGAGGGAGGATCTTGTTTTCTATAAGGGTGGATACGACATTCGCCGTGAGGGGTGGGATGAGCTGCTCCTGTGGGATATATGAGGAGCAAAGGAAAATGAAGATGGGTTTCGAGCCCTTTACGACTTGGAACACTTTAGAGTTTTACACCCTATACCAGTGGTAGCGATCGGGGAGCCAGATGCGTTGGGAAAGAAAAAAGAAAAAAAAAGTACGACAATCCAGCCTATCCGAAAAATTGTCATCCCTTCGATAGCCTCGATATGGCTCCGCTATTCTCAACCACCCCCCTGTTGTCCCAGCCGGTCTGTAGCTGCTACTAATAATCGTCCCCCTGCTACTTCGAGGGCAGAAGGCCAATGTAATTGGTTAGAAAGTAGGCCTGACGAATTCCAAGCAAATCGAGACAAAAGTTACCCCCTTTCATCTCCAGATGGATAACTTCGTATTTTCCTGCTGAAAAGGACGAAAATCCTGTCTGCGCACATTCCTAACCTAATAGTCCTGTATTATGGTTTCTGCTGTGCCACGATGAACGATGAGGTCAGGATGAATCTAACCAAGCGAATTAGACTTGGAGCCACGCGAAGGCGCTATTTGATCTAAGTAGCAGGGGAGGGAGGGTCGGGATGGTAAGAAGGGAAGATTGCAGAGCGAAGAAAAGATGAAGAAAAAATTGTATAAAGGAACAAGGGTGAATCCTCGCGTTTTACCATGGACGGAACTTTGAATGCTGGGAATCAAGGTACGCGATGATTCTCAATTCCTATTCGAATGACATTTTATCTTCTGGCTGCTTAATTCCTAGCTGGAAGCGTGATCAATTACGAACAGCGCCTGGAGGGGGCGGGATAATTCACTGGCAATTAAATGGCGCTTAAGTGAGAACATGGGATTTTTACTTTCACGGCTTTAAGCCAATTTCAAACTGAACGTTGCACTTCTTTCTCGTGGCGCAGAAGGTAGAAATCTTATACAGGAGAAAATGCAATCGCCTTTGGGAAAAGTTATCGACTTCCTGCTCAATCGGGATTCCTTGAAGTTCTCGGCAAGACGAATCGACTGGGATCCGACTTGGATTCTTCGCCATCGACTACCCTTATACCTTATACTATACATTGTATATATATATTATCGGCCTACAATCTGACTTAAAGTACCAACCCTTTTGCAGGAGAAATCATTAAATGGATATGCGCAAAGGCACGTCGACCCTTGTATGATTCAAGTCTCTCAAAATCCTTCCTGCCGTTTCAACCCCCTTTAGAAATCTCGTAGCTCGCACCAAGTTCATAGTGAACTTTCATCTTTCCATCGTTCTGCGAAATCTCGTAGTGACGTTTACCTTTTGTTAGGTTCTATTGGTAAACGTACATGGGATAAAAATTTCAAGAGGATCACAGTGGCAGCCGAGAATACTCAAGGTAGCGACTTAATGTCGTGATTCAGGAAATTTCTTAGTCCGCACGTGTCCTCGTTACGAACTAGGAGTTTCCACTCTGTCATTCTTCCATTCTTTCCCTCCTTCCGGTATTCTCATGGTGGAGTATTAAAGACCTGAGGGTGCTTGTAGAAGAACTGTTCAATTCAAAGGATCGTATTGCAGCTGTTCATTCCACCTGAAGCGTCCGAGTTGAGTGATACAGTACATTTTTTATCTAAAAATAATTTTTTTTATACTACTTAGATAAAAAAAATTCAACCTATCATAGAATACCTTTCGATGGTTAGGATCAAATTTTCAAAATAGACCCAGTTGGAATAGAAGGAACTAACCTCACTTCCGTTTCCTCCCGAAATCAACGTGGATCAGCTTCCTTGTCCTGTACACTTATCCTCAGTTGAGTATTTTCTCGAAAAACGTTTCACCGTTTGCACTGTCAAAGCTTAAGCTCTTATCACAGGAAAGACTTGAAGGCAGGTACGTTTGACGTCGCAGCGATTTAACCTTTTTAGATGTATTACTTTAACATTACGATTTACTTTTACTCTCTATCTCTCTCACTCTGTGACCTCTCAATTCGCATCAGGGAGAATAAACATTTTTCAATTTCACCAAAGTGCGATATCTCAATCAGCATAGAAGTTGCGAGAAAAAAAAATAATCGATTTATCTCATCTCTCAAGCTCGTTACCATAGTCTGTCAACGGTGGCGCCACAGTCTCCAACTTTAAAGTGATTTTAGATATCGAAATATAGATAAATAATATCCTTCTTTTTCATACAAGAAGTTTAACTTTGTATATTGAAACATCAGAATGCCGAATTTATACAGTTATGATCGTTAACGGAGGGGGCGGGGGGATAGAGAACAAAATTATGATGAAACAGCGGGAAAACACGTGCCTTTCAATGTTTAGCATTCAATTCGAAATTCATGATGTAAATAATGTGAAAATTGAATTACGAAATGATTTTTAAGGATATACAGTTACCAGTCTGAATTCTCACGAATGCTCAGTCTACAGAGTAGCAATCCAAGATGGCACAGCTGTCTACCGGATCGTGGCTAGCATTCCGCCTAGGAGCTTTCTCCGATTCGGACGTCGAAAGCACTTTCTCACTGGATATCCAGAGGACCTGGATCTTCCCTTGGAATGGATCGCTATCGTAAGACGCATCAGAGTATGGAGGACGGAGTGGTGGGGAGGGGATGAGTATCACCCATCGAGTTTGTCGTTCTCGCGACAATAATCTTTTTCTTGGCTGTAGATTGAATTCCTTGGAAAAAGCTCGAAGCTGCCAGTAGATTCGTAGAATCGTAGGAAAAGCTTCACGCTCGTAGCGATATATGCAAGCATATAATATATACAGCTATAGCTACCGTTAGATTGAAGCTTCTGGTAAGAAAACGATAGAAATTCTAAAGAGGATAAGAATTCACGAAATTGGCAAATGACGAAATCCTAGGTAAATAGTAAATCACACACGATATACGTACCTATACGTATCTACGTGCTATTCCAAAGGCAGCGGTCTAAAATTGTTGGCTCGAAGGGTTCATGACTTAGTGGTTGCAACTTACAGCTTTTAAGCTGGGAGACTCTATGCGAGTTGCGAGTAACGAACTACTTGTAATTGTAATGGCTCTGCTAGTAACTGTGGTAGGTGTAGTCCCTGTAGTGGGAAAACTAATAGCAGTGGCTACCATGTAGCAGCAGCTGTAGGTGCAGTCCGATACACGTTCAACGTATAGAATCTAACAGTCTATACTAACGGTTACACGATAGTAGCGATGGAAAGAGGGCATCTGGCTACTAGCGCCGCCCATGTTATGACGGCCGTAGGCAGAACTAACTGCCCGAGCAGAAGGCTGTCTGCTGTTGCTCGTCGACAAAAGGGATCAGCTGGTGGTAGGGACGCCAAACATTTTCAGAAACAATTTGACAGTTTGAAGCATGGAATCAGCAGTGTCGAGGAAGGCTGGTTTGATATTAAAAACATCCACAAGGTATGATAAAGATTCGGTATTAAAATTCCCCTTATTGTGTGGGAATTGCGTTACGAGAGATCTTATTGCGAGTGAACGAGCTCCTTTACGCTTTTATTCTCTTTCACTTTCGTCTTCTTCTGGTCTCCCTTTGAGACTCCGGGCTTCTTTCTGTTTTGTCTCTCGAGTGTCTCGAGTACTCGCGACTTTCTTTCAATCCGTATTTCAAATATATTTTAACTGTCGCTGCCGCGTCTCGTTACAACGCACACGACTGTCTTATAATTTTTACAGGCTAATCTATCTAATTTCCTGATTGGCTGTGACTCTTTAGAACTTTCGGTAGCGTGGATTAAGCGACGAGAAGGGATGCTGGTGAAATACTTTTCTACGAAGAATGCCGAGGCGATGATAACGTTAACGACTTGGGTGAAAATGAAAATAGCCCGACTGGTGAGAAAGCTGAATCTTCGAGAGGAACGACGTCGTCGTCCCGGACTGACTGTGGAATTTTTGGGGTTAGTTTTCATCTCCCTCCTTACCTCTACTATTACGAGCCGTCCTTGCTCAGGATGGAATAACTCTAAACTTTAGAAGGTTATGGAATATCTCAATGGTAATTCGAAAGGTATATACTGCAGAGTATATCGATGTTTGCCTATCTTGAAGGCAAACATTTTTTTGGAGGATGGAAAGGAGCCTTGAGACGAAGTCAGCAGGCACTGTCAAGCAGGAGCCACCCTACTGTCAGACGGCCTCTCATACAGGGTGGCCAGGAAGTTGCGATGGTACGTGGAAGAGGGATGGAAGGAATGGTAGGTTTACCAGTTTGGCATATAGGTAGGCAGCCATCAGTATGTCTGGTTTAAAGGTTTCATAGGGGGGGGGGAGACTCGGAGCAACCAAGCTTCATCCCTGTACCTGTGGGAATGCTGGGATGACGCTACTAGGGTGAGAGTGGGGAGGGTGAGCTTTCGCTACCATGCACATAAAAACCCACCCTAACGGACCACCCTAACTCAACAACCAACGGGAAAGACCCCTTCGCTACCGTCGGCCTATGGAAATATTAAAGCCGACGTGATGTCTTCGTTCGGTCGAGGTTACAAAAAAAAACACCTTACGGCTTCGTCCCTAGAACGGAAGCTGCCTCGTTCTGAGGGTGCCGATCGTTTTAGGCCCGATTACGCGGATCCTTGCTTAGTAAGAAGAAAATGGAGAACTCGCACTCGTATACGTAAACTCACACCAAGCCACTCTCTCCTGATTGGCAAATTTTCCTAGAGAGCATTCGGCACCCTCCCTCGTGACTTGCCCGTTCTCATCGAACGATTAATTCCTGCTCCGACGCTTTCCGATATTCATTAGCCTACCTCTCCTTCTCCTTTTCATTTCCTCAACCCTTGAGCCACTCACCCTCTCGTCCTAAAATCAATCCCGTTAAATCACGCGGCGACCCTAATAAGATAAACCGAGTGTTCTATCGCAGGGCCAGCAAAGATATATAATGCATAGATTTCATTAAAATTCAAAAACTTTGGCTGCGCCGCTCGTTCTTCCTCTAAATCACGATATTAACGTGAAATCGAGAAATTGATAAAACCCTCGAGCACCGGGGATAATGATATCTCCAGAAGAGAATGGCCATCAAAAATGTTCAACATTATAAGCATCGTTGAACTTTTCAATGGCAAATTAATTGGCTAAGACATTAAAGTCACGGGATTTAATTAAAGCTGCAAGATCGCAATTTACAAATCCCCCACTGCGATCCTAACAGCTTAATTCAAAATTTTGAAGGCCAGTACTCCATGCTACCAATTGCCGTATTAAATTTTCCTACAAAAACTCTCTTACACGCTTCGAGCTAAAAGGGTCTGCCTAGGGATAACGGAGGGTAGGAAAAAGGGAAGGGATGGTCGTAAAGGCAGACAGGCAGTAGAGAGGAAGAGAGGGGAAGTGTCTAAGGCCACGTCGGAAGAATACATACGGCTTCGAGTGGGCGCGCAGTAATATTTTTGCAGACATCAGAAAATTAATTAATTCAATGCATATTGTTCAGGTGGATGGCGCGTTGTGGAATGGCCCGAGTCTTGGCGCCCTCAAAGTACGAGAAAGGCCGCCACGTGGAGCAACAACTCCCGGATCGACGATAGCCGAATGATGAAGTAATTCTCGCCAATTTCGTGCACTCGATGAAACAAACGAGACTCGTTTTCATCCCCTATCAGTGTCCCTGGTAGCGATGGCCTCGAACCAACCCTTATAATCAATTTGTCAAACCACCATAGACGACTCTTCTGCCACAATGTCGTCCAGGTACAAGGTAACCGAGTCGACCCGAGTCAGAGTCAGAATCCAATGAATCTTCCAGAGCCCAATTGGATTTCCAGCTACGCAGCGGTAGGTAGCTCTGTTTATTATTGCGTCAAATTTGATCATTCTATTTTCTTGATCCCTCTTTTCTACGATTCAGCCAACTGGTAGAATCAGAGAGTACCAGATTACCTGCGACTCACCTTATTGAATCGTATAATATTATTTTCAGTTACCATTGAAATCTGAAACGAAATTTTTCTTACAGCTACCAGAACCACAGGATAGAAGGTGGGGAGGATGAAGGGATGCTGGGACTCGAGAGATGAAAGAGAAAAGGAATAATTGACACGGATGGCTAAAATATAATAGACTCAAGGAAAGTTTGTACTTGTCGCTAGTCTGAAAGACGCTAGGAGGCAAAGGAGAATATAAGCAACCAGCTACCAGTAGCCACGTAAGCAGCCACCTAAAAGCTCTCTCATTAAGAACTCCCCCTTCATTGTTTACCATCCTTTGTCTCTGCGCCTAAGATGAAAGAAACCCCCCACGACAGATTCAAGAATTAGTTTTCAATTTACGTGTTTCCGTTTCCCTCGTCCTCCTAAGCTTATTTACAGCGAATCAAGTTGCACACTTTCAAGAATAGGCTCTGGGTACTCTGTGTATATACGTGCCGGTCGCCATTTCCACCTTCATCCCTCTCGAGGCGAACCCCTCTTTTGAGCTGAATGAGATCGCAGCAATTTCAACGGGATGAATATTTTATTTTGATTTGACCGGGCCAGAGGTACCCACACTTGCTACCAGAGTGCTAACGGCATTATGCTTTCTTTATTTTTCCTAATATTAATTTTCCACCCTTGAATCTTGTCTTACAGGGGATGCTCGTCCAGTGCAATCACCTGTGATAAAAATCGAGAGGGATTTCAAATCCTGTTTCTTCTGACGCGTACGTTCGTTCCCCAGTGGACGCTGATTCTCTTCTGGATGGATTAAAGCGAAGCGCCGATGGATGGTTGAGAGACGTGAAAGAGAAGAGAAAAAGAAGTGCCCAAGAATAATGTAGTAGAAGATTTGGGAAAATCGGAAAAGTTCATGGCTTCCAGCCGGTAACTAACCGCTCGGCCGGAGGGGCTTGCATATTTCAGAACGTCATCTAGAGTCGCCAGACTGAAGGGAGGACGAGGGGGTGGATGTGCTCCAGAGAAAGGGTGAAATGAAACGCGAAAGTAGTAGCGGGCTGGAGGTGGACGGGAAGGAAGGGAAAGTTGGCGAGGGATGAAATGTGAAGAGACGCTCACGGAATACGGGTTAAGTGTTCTTAAAATGAAAAAAAATGAGGTGCACGCCCGCCGTGGCCGGAAATACTTGGTGCTCGTCCTACCAGGAGACATTGCGATTAAATATTAACTCGAGGGAGGCAGCCATGGAAAACTTTTAGAAGTCTGAGGATGCGAAGCTAGAGACGGTACGAGGTGGAGGTTAGAGAAGTTGTAAATAAAAGGAAGATAAAAAAAGGAAAGAAGAAAGGCCGAGCAAACGTACGACGTATCGATCTGCCTTTGGAATTTGGTGAAAACAAGAAGATTACGGAAAGGAAGGAGCCGGGCTCAGGGCGCTTCTGCTTGAATTATAAAAGACTCTACGAAGTCTGAGGAACATCGCCAGCGGCGATCTAACGACGCAGCGCTAACGTCGTTAAAGTCTCTGCGTCGCGACGCCTTGACGAAATAATTCAAGGCTCCTCTCCTTCACTCTCTCTTTCTTTCTCTTGGCATAGACCTGTAAAAGCTTTGGGAAAACAGCCTCGAGGGCTGCTACCCAACCCAGCATAGCGGCCTAGAATGGCTGTGGTCACGTCACATTTACCAGTCTCCTTTCCAGCGTCACCACCACCTCCGCCACCGCCGCCGCCGCCACCACCACTTCTCTCGGGGACTAGAGTCTGGCAATTATTTCTTGTTTAGTTCGGCCGTATATCAGATCGACGAAAGCAGCCACCAACTGTTACGGACAGTCACGTACGAGCCGAGCAATATCGCTGGCAGGACCTTTATTCTTTCTTATTACTTAATATCCCGGTAACGAGGATAAATGTGGGCCCCTCGTTGCCGACTAATTGCCGCACAGCCATGCCCGAACGCCTGACTCCTCAGAGTTCCCGAGGTTCGGCCTTATCAGAGGTTAACGAGTGAAAATAATCCTGACGGCATCCAGTGCAACTATTCTCAAGAGCAACCTCATAAGGGGGCACCGTTTACTTGGCTCCACCAGCTCATTTGCAGATTCCTTCATTTACTCGCTGCTTGGATATTTTTCCTCCTGGATTGCCAGTTCAGTTATGCAGGAGACGAACTTGCTGGATTGCTTCCCAGAAGCAGAGACTGTTTGAACTAGGCAACCAGCGATCAGCAAGATCCGCTCCTCGACATCCAGACGAATGCTTTAATTTCAGTTTGAAAGAGAGCGGCTGCACTATCCAATTGCTGCCAGAGGGTACCAGGTTGCTACGGATGCTGGTTCCTGCCATTACTCGTCCCCGCAACCGGCCCTTCGCCCCGGTCGGCTCTGCATACTCGAAATGCTCGAGAATTGAATCGTAAATTGAACTTCATCTATTTCGCAGAACGACGGGCTCTAAGGACGCCTCGCGCCGCGCGGCGTCGGCATTTGTAATCGGTACCTAGAAGCGCGAGGAGGGACGACGAATTTATTGAAAATTGAATCTCACCAGGTCGCCTTACACGTCCTCGTACAGTCTGACGAATAGCCAAGCAGAAACCAACGCTGTCACTCATCCCTGCAGTCTTACTTCTCTTTGTTTTTTTAATCTGGCTTAATCCTTTCAAAAATTAACACGATCTCAAAAAGTTTTCAAGCACTTCGCAGTCGGCCTCGAAAACCGTCGAGGGGATGCTGCTAGGAGAATTCTCAATGGCGAACGGGTTGCCGATTAATTAATCTAAATTTTAGCCCGAGGCTCACGCGACAGGGCGAAATTAGAATTTGTCGCTGCAGGGGTGAGTTTATTAACAGGGGCTCGATGTGCAGCGGCTTTTTCGACTGATTCGTTTATAAATTACGTTGACGCCTCTTTAATAATTAACGTTCAGTAATTAACGCTCTTAGCTCTGGCCCTCCCCCTGGCCCCCTCTTGATAGCTAAATTCGTTTTCAACGCAAACATCAAAAACAAAGAAGAGAATAGATCTGCGTAAGGAAGATGAAATATTTTCACCTTCAAAATCCAGCTCGATATTTCAGCCCCAACGATCCGTCTTCTCATCCGTTCATTTATTCTTCCCTCGGCAAGAATATCCTACCAGCCGAAGCCCGAAACGCATGGAACGACCGCAGCGACCTCGGGAGCTGGGAAGAAAATTCGCAGTATTTTCGCCTGGAAAAACTACCCTCTCACTCTCTAACGACTCACGCAATACCTAACTCCTCGAGAACACGCACCGGCAGTCGCATCCGGGTCGCACGACCTCGAAGTCCTTCGCAACCTCCTTTCGTAGCTGCACCTACCCATCTGCCCCTCGAGCACCCTCTGGAAGAACGAGTGGGCTCGCTTAGCCGGAACTGGAACAAATTTCCAGGAGGTTGCATGATTCAGAGGAATCCCGGTCACTCGAGCAGAGACACGAAACTGTGGGGGAAAAAAGAGAAAAAGGTAAGATTTCACGTAAATAACCATAAAGGTAAAAGATAAATAAAAAATTTTCAAAGAAAATCACAGTCTCATTTCTCATATGGAATATCGTTACGTAAAGTGACATAATTTTTTTTCATCTGTCATACACAGGTAGTATATTCTCACGAATAAAAAAAAACCCATCAGAAATCGAATAAGCTTCTATACCGGGGGTTTGGCCGAATTATCAGGACTAACCGAAGTGGGGCAAAGGGGGTTGCCTTTCATATACGACCACGTGCGTGACCAAACGTGAACGAAAGAGATGCAAGATGGCGAAGCATTCGAAGCTGTTCGCTGCTGACACTCGCCCGTAAATGAGGTCATTTTAAAACTAAGCACGTTTCTCCTGTTTATTCAAATTTCCAACACACACATATGCAAGTTTTGCCGGCAGGTCGTCCGCGTGTGGCGCGAGCCGATTCTCTGCGGAATTTCACTCCTCGCAGCCCCCCCCCGGCCAATCCCCTCGGAATTATAACTACATTCGAAGCTCGAACGCACGCAGAACCGCGGGGAGTTCAAGAAGAAATACACGTACCGCCATCTGTTCCCTTATGTCCTTTTTTTTTCCTTTTTCTTTTTTGCACTTTTTCCACAGACGGTACCTTCGGTACGCGTAGCGCCTGGAGCATGACAAGAGAGATTCTTATGGAGGATGCTCAACGAGCTGTAACGAGAATGACCGTCACTCGTATCATTGTTGATAGAAGAAAAAAGATGAAAAAAAGGTGATCAAGTAGAGAAATACGAGGAAAGAGTCATAAAGAGGTAGAGAGGACTGAATAAAAGAGAGAGGGATGAGGTGGATATAGAATGCGAGAAACTTAATTGATATAACGAGATAAGGCCTTTACGCCACCCGAAGAGAAAGAGCGCGCATTGAATTTGAAACATTTAAAAGAGCCGTCCGTAGAATCCTCTTTGTTTGACGAGTTATCCCTGAAGCCGACCAGACGTGCCGCGACTGTCAAGCCGCATTTTTCCCTTTCTTTTCGTGTCTGACGGATTCATTATGTAATTCGCATAATGGCTCCCTCGCCGTCTTGGAATTCAATTGTCTCGACTCACGGGGACGAGGTTGCTTAGGTGAAGAGACATTCATCCCTCTCTGTCTTTTCGCCCACGTATTTCTGTTTCTGTATTTTCTACTTTGTATCTCCAATTCTCTCATTTTTTCTCAACTCTTGCACTTTCTTTCCTTTTGGTCACTAGCATCGCCCATTCTCGTTGAATTTCTTTGCGGATTAATATTTGCGCCGGTGGTGTGTTCCCGATGTGCCTGGCCGAGGAGCCGTGGTAGGAGACAGAACAAATAACGGACGTGGTCGGAGACAAATGGCGAGGATCTACCCGACGACCATATCCGAGAACACGAGAAGAGAGTACTCTACCCTAAGACACGCGACCTTCCTGCCAGAACAGAGGAAGAAATAATGCCTCTTCTACATTTTCGGGACAAGATGTTCGAGACGCCTCTCCGTTCGTATTTTTAGGATTTTTTTCCCCTGCGGAATCGACTTCAACGCCCTCCTCGGATTTTCTATCGGGAGACATCGTAAACGGAATTGTGCTGTTTCTGCCTGGATAAGATAATACGAATGTGTGGTTAGGGATGGTAAATATAAATATGGATGTTACGTTAGCCAATGGCTCCATTCGAGAAATCTCGTCAGACTGTATCGGACGCACTGGCGTTTTCATTAGTATCCTTATCATCGACAGCACCGAGTTCGTTCCCTTTCACCGGCAGATGACCAAAGAAAGAGGTTAGGGTGCGGAATAACGAAACTGCGTCAGGAACGTGATCGTGAACGTGGATGTGCGCGAAACAGAGACGTGGACGAATGATGTGGATCCAGAGGAGGAAAGGGAGGAATTTCCTTCTGTTTTGTCTTTCGTCTGTTGGGGCTGAATCCATTGGGCCATAGGGGGATGCGAGTGACAGCCGATTGTTATCCCAATGCCAGTGCTCAGTCTCCATTGATCTACGCTCGACCAAGGGACGAAGGGAGTGAACATCGCTCTCGTTCCTTTATTAAAATTGAATGGATGAACGTCTAGAGGAAATTTCAGTCTGAAGGGTAAGGGGAATCCTCACGTTTCTTTTTTCCTTTCCTTTTTCTCATTTCTTTTTCTACTTCTTACGTCGTTCCCTCGAACGTACTTTCAGACTACAATCTGAATTTCAGAGTACGAAAATTTCGCAAAAACATGAGCAAAAGCTAAACTTTGGTACAACTGTTAAAAAAAAACATTCATTTTGTATACTAGCCGCGTATATTCACAACTGTACGAGCTTGAAATCTGGCTGAATGTAGAAAATAAATGATGGTTACACCCAACAGTACTGCGGGCCTTCGCACAATTTGTGGTTTCAGTTTTTTAATTTCAACTTTCCACCTCCGTAGGTCGAAAGCGGCTCATCGCGCATTCTCAGATAAATGAGTTTTTTATCGAGTTTCCACTTGACTACCGCCCGCTCGTAGAGAAAGGTAGCAGTGAGCCATTGAGGGAGCCAGTGCGTATCAGAAACTTAAACAAAGTACAACGACGTCCGGAAGTTCATTCGAACTCTGCAATGCCATCCGTCTTCCTTGCCATAGAGTCCTGAATTCATCTGGATTCCCCGATTCGCCAGTCTCTCCAGCGCCTCGACCATTTCCCATTCCGCAGTCTCTTCCATCACCCCCTCAAACCCAGGACTTGCCGTGCTGGCAATATTTTTTAGTATAAACGGAAATATATCTAGCTCGACCTATCGCGTAATATCGCGCCTGCGGACTTTATTGGAACTTTTCACTGGTTGCCAGAAGCGCCTTGCATCTAAAGCAGTGGAAGTCACCTTCGATCCTCGCGCGAACCTTCGCCTCCCCGCGAGCCGCAACCTCATTCCAAAGTTTCCGCAAAGTCCGATTTAGGTATCCGCCACGTAACCGTATCCTATCGCATCGCATTGCGTCGCAGCTTTAGCCATTCAGATGCGGCCTAATATAAATTCTCAAACTGTCCGCCTGGTCGTACGTTACACCAGAGTCGTCGCATTCGAACTATTTTTCTCCAACGCTGAAATATTCAGGCTCGGATATATGTATATATTGCGCCCGTGTCATCTAAATGTCCTTTAGACAATCAATTCAGCACAGAGTTATACGTTTGAAAAATGTAATCTTTCTTTTTCATCTTGCACTTTGCTACGCGCCGCTGGATGCACGCGCACTTTTATACTTCTGCTCTAGTTACATTCTCCCTTTGTTAATGCTAAAAACCCAGTCTCAGGGTTTGCTCTCATTTTCACTCTCATATATTCCCACCCTTATCCGGTCCCAACCCCTCGCCCAATCCACTTGGCACGACAGGGACGTCGATCACGTTTGAATGCACTCCGGTGCACTGCGAGGTCTATTGTAAGAGTTTGCAGGAAGCTTGAAATAGGACACACTCTTTTTATTGTATCTTTTTACACAGTACATAAATACAAGCATCGCCGATGCTATTTACACTGGATATCATAAAAAAGGCTTTTATTTTTAAATATCACGCAAATTAGATTAAACAGCCAATCAGATCTTCGAGAAACGTTGATTCACCTACTACTCATACACTTGGTATTGTTACGGATGAATAATCAGTACACCTGAAGGTCTACGAAGTACTCTTAGAATTTTGCTGTAACATATTTTCCAGCTCACGTAGAAGCTGGCTGACGTGTTCTACTAGTTTTTGGTTTGATAAAGTGCCTTGTCTCAGCGTTCGACTGTAACATTGCTTGTAGAGATTGGCCAGCGAGTCGCACCTGAAAGCACAAGAACAACGAAATGATAGAGTTGTAGAGACCAATCGGATGAACAGAATAAAATAAACCAGTCGAAACTTACTCTTTCTTGTTGTTTCCGGTGTTTTTACTAAGACACAGCTTGGTCAGTGAGCGAAGTAGGAACTGTAGTCTCTGCTCGAGCAGAATAATCAGTTTTCCTTCATCTTCCGTCTGTTTTTGCTCGTCTACTGATTTTTCCTCGTCGAAATTGTTACGCTCTATTTTTATTTCTGCGGAAATCTTCGATGCCCCATCTTTTGGCCTGACAGCCTTGTTCTTTTCATAGAGGATATCGATTATCGGGCGACATTGTAGAATTAATTCTAATCCATTTTGATAAGCTTTAAGCTTCCCATTAAAACTTGTGGACGCTGCAAGTATCAGCGAAATTAAATTAAGTTTTAAATATTTTTAAATACTAAGTTATCGGTTACTCACTTTGTGCTTGATGCTCTGTCAGTGCTACTCGTTCCATCTGTACAGTTAGAAATTCAATACTCTGCTCCAGGGATAATAATAACTTCGCCGCCTTCTCGTAATACAATTTGCTGAGCTGTAAACTTGTTTTACGCTTTCCGGGATCCGCATCCGGTTCCAGTTCTCTGTAGACGCGGTGATACAAGGAAGCAAGTCTATGCTGAATAGAAGCAGCACGAAATTGATAAACCGGTTGTCGAGGACCTGGGGTCTCGGTATCACAGTACTTCAAAGCCTTTTGCAAAATCTCTACGACTTCTTTCTCAAGTTCTTCTTCCGTCTGCAATGAGTTATTTATGGAAGCATCAATTATGCAAATTCTATAAAATATATACATGTATATCTAGACTAGTGTCTTGTGTACCTTATTACCAACAGCAGGATAATCTTGTAGTAAAGTAGCCATCGAATACAGAGTAGTGGACAATTCCCAAGTTACTGTATCCCATATACTAGGATTAGTCTTTCTGGATCCTAATACTTGCAATGCTTTTTGATAGCTGATAAGCGCCTTGTTGTAAAACTGGCGTTCCTGGTGTCTCTGTTTAATATGAATATGTGCACAAAGACGCAACAGTCGACCAGAATTTGAGTGTAGCAAAGCTAAATTCGCTTCGTCGTTAACGCTCTCAAACGCTTTTACTCCTGATTCCAAGTGGTTCAAGGATTGCGTAAGGAGTGCTGTCACGTCCGGTGAAGACGAGGATGAGGTAGTTTTTGAAGAAGTGGACGAATCGTCCTCTGTTGATTCCTGCTGATACCGGGCTGAAATATTGAAGAATTAAATAAACCAATTGTATATAGAATTTAAAATAATATTCGACGTCAACCTTAACAAGCAGCGTACCTCCAGCTTGATTCATATAAAGAACACCAAGCTCGTTGTGGATATTTCCTAGCCTTCGAAGAAGATTATTTCTTTCCATACCCGAAGGTTCCAGTGACAAAGCTTTCTCATAACACTTGTACGAAGCTACCAGAACTTCTTCCAAGCTTTCCAAATGCTGCGGTAGTAACTCAGTGCCATCTAATTAGAAAAAATAAGTATCGTATAAGCACAAAATCCTATATTTTCTAATAAGCCTATAATAAGTCTATGCGTAAAAGAATTAGAAACTTACTCATATCTACATCTTCCATCGTATGGATCTCCTCAATAATTTTTTCATCAGTCTTTTCCTTAACTTCATAATCTTCTCTGTGCTTCTCAATATTAGACCAGTCTTGAACTGCCATGAAACACGTATCGCCAGCACGTCCTAGAAGATAACTAATGAGTTTGTTGTTTTTGACACTGCAGAATATCTCTAATATCTTCTGGCATCGTAGAACTGCCAATATGTATCTGAGCGACGCTCCGTAATGATTACTCGAGTATTCATTCTCTGCCAATACTGCAAAAATCAAAGAGGCCTTTTCATAGAGCAGAGTTTTCAAATGGGCGTTCCAGCTCAAGTTGTCACTCTTCTTAGGTGCTTGCCAAGTTGGCAACGTTTCCCCGTTAGGTTTGCAAATAAGAGCCTTAGGCGTACTATCTTCTATTTCATTCTTTGCTACGTTCTTTTCAGACTTTTTGCTCTTCTTCTGCTTATTTCGTTTCTTGTAATTGGGACTCGCCATATTCGCACACTCTTCAGAATCAGTAGCACTCTTATTCAGTGGAGTATAGGGCATAGGAATAGCTTGAAAAGGCTTTGCTGTATTTTGATGGACTTCCTCATATTTCTGTCTTTCTTTTTCCACGTCTTCAGAGTCCTTTTGCTCACTATCTGAATTATCTTCTGTTGGGAAATACTTTAAACACTCTAGACCATGAGCTACGTGCTCCAGGGCAGCTCGACAACGTTCCTCAACGGTACCACGAATTGGAGGTGGTTTGTATTTTGGTTCCTCCTGTTCCGGTTGTTCCTTGACTAGAAACAAAAAAAAGTAATAGTTTTGAATCTCTATCAGAATTCAGATCGTTCAATACGGTGTTACTCACTACAAGCCAATCTTAGGGATTTTATAGCGGCGTTCACTTCTTCATCGTTTACATCTGACCAGCTGTTTTCACTGTCCTGATTCGTGTTGCATTCACTTTGAGCGTCTTCTTCGTCGCTTTGATCTCCCAAGCCTGGACTTGCCGGATTTGTATCTACTGGAATATACAAATCCGAGAGCATATAGTGCGCGGACGTGACGATCTGTGGATATTTTTCTTTAGCTAGCAATTGAACGCAGTTTTGTAGCAGCATTCGTATCGTTCCCTGCTGCCTTCGGTAATCTGATGAATACTTCATGTTTCTTGCTACTCGGTAGAGAAGCATTGCCACAGGAACTGTGAATGGATTTTGACCTTTCTCATCTGAAATATCGCTGCACAGTGACGTCAGATCGTACAGCTTCACAACATCATCGTCTTTACCTGATTGAAAAAGAATTATATAAAAATACGCCCATACTCTGCTTCCACTTGGCGCACGTCGATCCATTTTTGCTTACCCTTAAACAGCCAATAGGTATGACCAGCCTTAGTAGCATTGCTTTTCAGAAAACTTAATATATTCTGAGCAATATCTCTTATTACTTTGGGACTGAATCTAGAGTGGTCCAAATTTGGAAGGTCTTCTGTTTTTATTAGTTCATACTTTTGCACTATACCGTCAAGATGATAGCACATTACAACCTCAGGAACATTGCACATTAAATTATCCAGCCAGTAATCAATTCCAGTCAAGACATTTATCGGTTTTGTCATGTCTCGAAGTCTCAGACTTATACATGGATGAGTTTGACCACCAAAGATTGGCATGTCAGTTCCAATCAACATCTGTATGTTTTCAAAAGTCCAAACGACATTTCTTGCAAAATTATGATTATAGTTGGGGTCAGGTAATTTCTCTTCGAGTGTTGGCTCAGGCAGTAATGGTTCTAAAGGTTTCACTGGTAACTGTGGTTCTTGACCCTGCTCTTTCTCAGCAGCCAAAACCAACGAGTGATATAAAAATTTGGATATTAAATTTTTCTGCTGTAAAGTGTTTCTGCTATTGCTCTTATGAAATAGTCTCTTTTCTTTGTCACCCAAATTGTGGAAAACATGCTCGTAGAAAAACTTTTTCAACCATTCCCAGTCACTCTCTGCCTGCCTCAACAAGTACTTGTGTATATCAAAATCATCTAGAAGTAATGTATTCTCTACTCTATGAACCATCATAGAGACAGGACCATGACTGTACGGCATCTTCAGAAGTTTCTTTATATTCTCAGCATCAGAAACCACGTCCACTTCTCCAACACAATCTGGAAACATGTGTGCCATGCGAAAACTGGAGAAACCAGTACTTTGAGACCATACACTTTGCAATCCATAGCTTTTAGCTGAACTGCTGAGCCAGTTACTCGGAGGAAGATTTAAATCTGTGTTGCATCGCAATTGGGCAAACAACGCTGGTGTCTGAACAGCTGAATACTTGACAACAGCAGTAGATTTCACTGGGTTAGTTGCTGAATCGTATGAACCCACGACCACAGGTTTAAGCTGAAATTTAAAAAAGGGAATAGGAAAGATAATATAAAACTATTCAGAAAGACATGAAATATTTTTCACATAGAAATGAAGAGTTTAATAATATGGTTCAGACTATGTATTACACAAGTCCTGTATTACAAAGGGTACACAATAAAGAGAACAAGACACAACAATACAGTGCAACGTATATTTTTGAATGTAACAAAAGAGATGAAACAATTCAATAAATGACATTCGGATGACAGTCACTTAAAAAGATGACCTACCGTCTCCATATCACTATTTGAATTATCGGCCATATCTGCACACGAAAACTCCATCTGTACTGATCTGCACTATCCAGTTCTAAATAGTTTCTCACATTCTGAAGAAAACTTCTAGAAGCAGCGAGAAAGCCGCATGCAAACAAAACGTGATCATAGATTATACGAAATACATAGAGCAGTATTTTCTATGAAATTTTTAACAATTTGCTCTACTGTACCGATATAGATGCTTCAAACCAGATCAACTAGAATTTCTTGACCAAATTTGCCTTTAGGTGATAAAAAAGGGCTTGATATCTTTTTAGGGTCCCTAGCCAAAGATCACTTCTCATTTAATGCGCATAGCGTGACACGACCTAGTAACGTTGTTTAACCAGAGATGAGTAGGGTGATGCACAACGCTACGGTTTTAGACAGAGATGAGTGGGGAGATGCACAACGCTCCGGTTTTAGGCGATACCAAAAGCATGGCTCTAAATCGTAGCGGCGAGTGCGGGAGTAGGATTTCGTGATCATCGCCTCTGTCGATGTTACAGATTTCGCGTAGCCGCCCGGGTCATGATCATCGTTCCAGCCGATATTGCAGTCAGCGAAATGAATGGATTACTCGGTGATGAGGAAAAAGTTGCCGCCCCTCACAAACCGTTCTTGACAAACAGGCGGGGCAGCAAGGTCTTCCGTCCAACCGAACCCTAAATATTTGTATGGACGTAATGCGCAAACAAATGTGTATATTCAAATAAATTTGAAAGTTATAAAAAATGCATAAAAATATTGGTTTTTACTCTTTACCTCTTATCATGCCGAAAATGAACATTAAAAAATGAATGGCGAAATTCGTTGGTAAATGAAACGACCGTGAACAGTTCCAAGAGAAATTTTGAAATATCATAGATAAATATCTATAGAAAATTTAATATAGAATTAAAGGAGCATTGTGGCTGAGTCAATAACCTGTGAAGATATACCGCTGCTGGTTACGGGTTCGATCCCCCACGAAGAACTCTTTTTTCATCTTCTTTTTTTTTTTCATTTTACTACAAAAATTATTCAAGGTTCCTCTCTTTTAACCTTTCTCGGTTGCCCAAACTTTATTTTAAGCTTATATAAAATATTTTAAAAAAACGTCATCGGGATCGAAAATCATTTTCTATTAACTCACAATATTCTCTCTCGCAATATCCTTCATAGTAATAAAATAAACATGAGACGTGTTGCGTCTTGTTTCCTTATAACTATT